TGCGTGCTTACCATGCACGAGGTCCTGGGTTCAATTCCCAGTGCCTCCATTAAAAAAAATAAATAAAGCCTAATTACTTCCCCCCTCAAAAAATAAAGGCACAGTTATATAAGTTTCACAATACTGTAAACTGACTATGCTTCAATCTGAAAGAAAGAAAGAAAGAAAGAAAGAAAGAAAGAAAGAAAGAAAGAAAGAAAGAAAGAAAGAAAGAAAGAAAGGCAATCACTACTAGTACAAACTACTCAAAAAGCATTAACTGTTGGACCAAGAATACTTTAAATTATAATAGAAAGGCCCTCCACAGTGTGGAAAGCAGAAAGTTGCCCTTAGTCAATTCATAACCCAGATGCTTATTTCTAAATTTATATTAAAACAAGATCAAATTTTAAAATTTCTTACCATATCCGCTAGAGAAATATAGAGGAACATGCCTCCGGCAAGGGCAAATATAATATTTGGAGCAAAATTATTGCCCACCAAGATGCCAAAAGCTAGCCCCACGTAGCAGGAACACGCAGAAAGGAAGTTGAATAACAAGGCCTGTCGGGTGCTCATTCCTGCATTGAGCAGGATCACAAAGTCCCCTAGAAGAAGAAGAACATATCAAGTGAATAGGGTTGTTTTTTCTATTTTTGGACAAGATAAAAGATAATCACCAATGTCTGAAAAGGGTTCCTTCCTTCTGAGGCACCAGCAGGACCTCTAAGAGTGTATCATCTGAAATGTCTCCCTCCCCTGAAGTCAAGAAGTGAGGGCCTTGGACGGTGTGCACAGAGCCCCTCACCTAACTCGTGAGGGAACTCCTCGCACAGGATGGCTATAGAGGTGCTGAGTCCCTGCAGGAGAGACAAAGTACAGGAGGCCCCAATGGCCAGGCCATCGATGAAGTTGTGGAGGGCATCGCTGAGCGTAATCATCCAGGCAATCGTCCCTATTTCTGAGAGTTTGGGCCCCTTCAAGCAGGTCCATGAACAGGACTCCTTTTTTCCATCCTGTGAAAGAACAAAAAATCAGTCAACAGGATAACCAGGATAACCAACATACTTTTTAATTGAGGTATAGTCAACTTACAACGTTGTGTTAGTTGCCGGTACACAACACTGTGATTCAGTTATATACATATATGTGTGTGTGTATATATATATATATATATATATATATATATATACTTCCTTTATATTCTTTT